TTGCAAAAGTGACACCTCTTCGTTTTGCACGTGGCACGTGCATAAGGGGTCACCCACATGCATCGGGAATAGTCCAATACTTGGTAGAAGGAATGAAGCTACCCTACAAAAATTACCGCATGTAAATCGGTCAAGTGGTTGCTGAGATATAAGCCTCGCAAAAGCGTGACCACGGCCGGCCGGCCGGCCGGCCGGCCGCTCATACTCAGAAATTTCCGTTAATCTAAGGAAAGACTACGCTCGCTTCGCTCGCTCCGTAATCAATCCTGTGCCCTCAGTTCGTGGCCTGTTGTTTGCTGGCGGTCGCCAGCGCCGCTCCTCAGCTGATTCAGAACACCAGTCCAATCAACGTCGGACAGCCACAAGTGCGCATCTTGTCAGAGACTTTCGAAAATGACGACTCTGGTAACTACGAGTTCAGCTACGAACAGGACAACGGACAACGGGTAAGGAACAAGCCATATCAATTTTGTTCATGACAACACATGGGTGTGAGCCAAGGGTCCCAAAGAGCACTTTTGCTATTTCCTAGCTCAACGATACTTCCACAAGCAAATTACCTATTCATAATCCAAACGATGAGGTCTGCCAGTCGGCTAAGGATACTTTTAGGTCCAAGCGTTGTTGTCAAACTGTTGACCAAACCCATCGCTCTCTCATCGCTCACGGCTGTACTTTCTCCCAAACAGGTGGAGGAGATCGGCCGCTTCGAGCCAGGACCGGAGCGCGAAACGGGCGCCATCACCAAGCAGGGCAGCTACCAGTTCATAGGCGACGACGGCAACACTTACACCGTGTCCTACGTGGCCGACGTCAACGGCTTCCAGCCGCAGGGCAACCACCTGCCGGTGGCGCCGCAGCAGATTGAGGCGTACGCCCAGCTGAGGGCCGACTTCCCACAGCTGTTCTGGGCAGAGGGGCTGAGCGAAGGCGCGGACCTGTCTGATTCGCGGTCGGACAGCTTCAACCAGCGTGGCGCCCAGCGCGCTGAGCGATTTGTGCTGTGAACCAGCACTAGTTAGATGCTGGCTCAGCGAGCCAGGGGCTTTGAGCCCAAACTGAAGGCAGTCTCAGCCGCGAGTCAGCGAGACGATGACGAAGCAGTCCAATAGACTTGGACGGAGCCTCAGCACCGCGAAGACGACTTCTCTTGCCAGTAGAAAGGAGAGCGGACTTTCGGCGCCGCCAAATATCCAAAGTGGCGGGAATATGTATATAAACTGTGCACACTGATGGTCGAGGCAGTGCTAAACACTGCCTTTCATTCATATACCTCGTGTACTGTATGATTGTGACCAACCTCTGTGCTGTCTTGTGTTATGGATCACAACATGCAATACATGGATGCTCAAATGAATCAGGGTTATGTCACTGTCTAGTGGGAAACAAGGTTTATTCAAATCGGTACATCAGCAGGACGCGCTGTTCTAACGCGGGGCGGTTATTTTCGTAGAACTACAACTGCTACGGGACCTAACGAGATTGGTAGAACAGCGCTCCGCACAAATGTAGGAGGCCAGCATCATCTGTGTCAATAACAAATCAAAAGAACTTCAATAAAAAATGTGTTGTGCTATTCTTATACAGTTCATTTCATAATGTCCGAATGATATTTACAGTTCCATGTTTATCATGAATAAACGCATGCATGGGTTTAACAAAAAATATAAACTTCATTGTATCAACTGAAAAAAGAAAAAGAAAAATGACTAGAAATGGCAATGGGCAAAGAACCAAACACACCAAAAGCGGTGAGGCCTTTGGGTGGATGCAAAATATGTTACATCTACTTGTACGATCTTGAAAGAATAACAGACCGCAGTGTGTGCTGTGTTAGCCCGCGCCCCACTGGCGTTAGCGTGTAACGCGACCCACTGGGGGGGGGGGGCGCTATTCAGTATTCACAGACCCCCTCATAATTCCAAAACTACTGGACGATTGTCTAAATTCAAACGGCGTCTGATAGCCCTAGAAAAAAAACGGTCGAACGAAATTTAATTTAATTGACCTCAAGGTCACGGATGACGTCACAGGTCAGGTCAAAATAAAAATTATCAATGTTCGGCTTCTTCACCTTTTAGGCTCTGGCCGCTGGTCCACAAGTCAGATCAGGCTTATTTTTGGTTTACACACTCGTGAATACATGCTCTAGATACCCTCAGAATACCAAACTTGTACTTTGATTTTCAGCTCAGGGCCAGGTCATCCCAGGTCACGGAAATCTTATATCATACAACGGTCACGTGACACAAGTTTTTGTCTATTTAGGCCAAATAATTCGAATTCGGTGCGTTTATGTCATTCGAGGTCATTTTGAGTTGAATTTAGCTGAGGTCAGGTCACTTTCAGGTCAAAAAAGGTCAAATTTAAAAGTTGGAATTTTTCAACAACAAAAAAATGTCTATCGGATGCTACTTATGTCTATCGGATCACTATTCTACGGCTTCAAGAGAATCCATAAAAGATTGAACTGTCCATCAATACTCACTGAACTGGCTTTAAATCGTTAACTAACTAGTTTTCAGCCCTGATTCGTGCGAAAGGCATTTCTAATTATCCCAATTTCTTCAACAACATGCCCTTCTTCATTGTCTCTCTGCATCATTGCGTATTATGCCAGATTCACACTTGTCTATCTGCAGAAATTGTCAGATAATGCAAATCATGTCTACCTGCATCAATGCGTGGCATATGCCCGCCTGCAACAAGTGTTGATAAATGGGCTAAACTACCGTCATCAGTCACTCATCACGACGCCATCCTATGTAAACAAAGCAGAGCCATTTTTGCTACTGTTTCGATATTTTGAGCGGCACCGACGCTCAGTAAAACGAGTGACAACCCCTGGGGATATATCAACGAGCGGCCCAAAGACCATTGCAAGCACCGCAGTCGCTGACGTGGTAATCCCCGCCGTTCAAAACAATGACCCAGTGCCTGTGGCGGTGCGTGCCGTGCTCTCCGTCCACCGGCCGAGCAAAGGCGGTGTTTTTCGTGGCCAAACTGAGAGAGCCGCCGCACTCTGCCGCAGAGCAGCTTAGGGCGCCCACTCAGCCATACAATGATTAACCCATAAGCCGGATGATGGCTGAGCACGAGCCATTCCCGGATTGGCATGCCAGCACGTTGGATTCTGTTTGTAATTTATTCGCTGTGCAGGTTCGTTAGTGTTAGCAGCAATGATACATGAAAAACAATAACATCACTAGCGCCTATGCAGATAAAACAACAGAATTATGATAAAAGTAAAGCGGCGGAAATCCAAAATCCAAGGATTGCTGTATTTAGTTCTACAATAACTTGTTTGTCTGATGATGGCTGAGTTGAACATCATCAGCGCATGTATTGCTGAAACACGCACACTGGCAGTCGAGAGGAAAAGCATCTTAGTCCGACGAGCTCCTTACATACAGAATCTCAAGTCGGAGTGACAAGTAACGTAAATGCAGACGAACAATTGTTTATCCCGTCACCTGAACACTCGCTGATATTAAAATAATATTCAAGCATGTAGTTTTTAAAGCATGCACCACATACCAACTTTGACTGATTCGAAATGCGTTGCTACAAATTTGCGTTTTTGCCATCAGTTCGCTCGACTTCAATGAGCCCAGCCACGGTACAAAAAGTCTTGCGACCATGAGCCCACATACTCGCAAAGACGTTTATAAATAATAACTAGTTCCTAGAAATGCGAGGCTCACGTCATCTGCATTCACAGCGTCAGCTACCAGTTGCAATTATGACCATGACTTTGCACACTGCTTATAAAATAATGGCGAGGTCAGATCATTGTTGCAACACAAAGTAACCCCAAAGTGTTCCGAATCCTCGGCAAATGTTCAAGAGTTGAATGTAAAAGCCTCATCATATCGCAGTGTTGGTCAAAAGCAACCAAAAAGGAGCGTCATTAATTAACGCAAATGTCCACCGCCGACGACGACGATCTTTTGTAAACACAAAGCAGCTGCTCAGCGAGGAATATACTGTGTACCCCACTGCCATTAGACGGTCTTCAGCCGATCACTGCCTACCCTACAGCTCATTGTCGCCGTAAGGCCATGACATGACCCACGCCTCAGGGTCACTACATAGTCACTCCGGTTCAGGGCTGCGGAGTCGGAGTCGGAGTCGGAGTCGGAGTCGATTTTAGACACCCGAGCCGGAGTCGGAGTCGGAGTCACCGAAAATCTGTCGACTCCGCAGCCCTGCTAGGTCTGCGGAGTCGGAGTCGGGAGTTGGAGTCGGTCGGAGTCGACAATTCTGCCCGGAGTCGGAGTCGGAGTCGGAGCTGGTTTTTGAAAGCCGGAGTCGGAGTCGGAGTCGGAGTCGCCGAAAATCCATCGACTCCGCAGCCCTGCTCCGGTTAATTATCGTTATCACGTCATCAGCCCTGTCTTATACGCTCGGGGGATGACGAATCATGCCGGGAAGGTCAGGCCCTAACCCAGTCGCTGAGTTGTAAAAACGGGGTCGGAAGCTCCGGGCGGCCCGCCCGCGTGCACAGTCAGCTCCGAGGGTGCCGGGGGCGGCAGAGCGACCCAATCGCAGTCGAGTCACGCACCGACTCTCCCCTATCCTCTCGAAAGGTGCCACTGACGCCTAGTGCCATGATGGGTACCGCCGCCACTACATACAAGTCGTCTAATGATCAGAGGCGCGGCGCCCCAGTACCGCGTGACGGGGCATGGGGAGGGAAAGGAGCGGTGGTGAGTCTGACCTCACTGCCCAGTGCTCAGGCGTCAGTGCGGGACAGAGCTGAACTGGGTTACTCCTACCTCCTTACTCCCCCCCCCCTTCCTCCTCACCCATTCCTGATTTTAACTCAGCCTCCATTGCTGGGATCACTGGCATTTCTATTCTACCGTCGTTGAATATACATTTTCGCATGTATTCCACATGTTTGTGACCCACGACGTCTTCTTGCCACATCATCGGCCCCCACCCACCCCCAACCTCACACCGCCCCGTCTCGGCGGCAGTGGCCAGTGCCGACCCACCTTAGCCAGCTCGAGCATGGCGTGCAGGGCCGGTCGGTCCTCAATCAGCTTCTCCTTCACCTCTGCGTCCAGGGTCAGGTAGGAGAGGCCTTCGGTGGCCCACTTGCGCAGGTCCTTGTCCTTGGCGGGGTTCACCAGGAACCTTAACAGACCAACATAAGAGGAATGGTCAAAGCATGGCATAGCTAGATGAAATGTTGTGCAGTAAAGCGCCGCGCTAGGGAAATTTGAGACTGAACCCATGCAAATGGGTATTGCTTGTTGATGCTATTCTGAAGCTAACATTTAAAAAAAAAATGTTATACCCATCAATAACAAATATAACCGATATCTATGACTATGCACTGAAGGCTGGCCTCAGCTGGCTAAAATACAAACGCTTTCTGTAACAGCTACCCACCTTCGGCACGCCTCTGCCAGTTTCATGGTGCTGCCGTCCGCAAACGGCCGTACCAGAGCGTCAGTTCCGCCCAGCGAGCCGACCTTGCACAGTCCGACCAGCGCGCGCACACGGATACTGTCGTTCTTGGACTGATACAGCCGCTTCAGGATGTCGACACCCTGCGTCAGGATGCTCTTGCACTTGTCCTTCTTGGAAGCGGCCGCGATCAGCGCCTCGCACGCCACCCGCTGTGGTGGGGAGGGAACGAGTGTGAACATCGGATGTGTAGAGTTCGGTAGGGGGGCAAATCAAAAACTCTCTGATGTTATCATACAAGCTCAATGACGCCAAAGACCTCACTAGTCACAATATCAGCGAACTAACTCACTGACCTCAAAGAACCAGCTCACTAACACCAACGAACGAATTACAAACACTATTCGCTAGAATCGCGTAATTCTATTGAAAAAATCTAGTATCATTAACTGAACTCACTGGCCCGAGAGAACGAACAGTCTGGCCTCACCAGCCCCCGACCGACCCGTACCTGCTGAAGCAGATCATCCGTGTTGGCCATGACCAGCATCATCTCGAGGATGCCCTCCTTGGCCAGCATCTTATTGCCGAGGTCGATAGGTCCCAGCAGGAGGCAGGTGATGGCTGAGGTCACGCGCACCTTGCCCTCGATGTCAGGCGTCACCAGCTTGGACCTGCCCCAGAGAAAGGTGAGAGGTTAAATGTCAGCGCGTACAGGCGAGATAGCTCGAGTCGCAACTACACTTAACAAAATACTGTGGAGTTTCGTAACGTCGCTGCCGAGAGCCTTGGGAATTCTTAAACAGATTAGACTGGATATGAAATTCAAGTCAAACTATAAGGTCTTCACCAGTTACTATCCTTTCTAAAATTTTATTCGCAATTTCCGGTTATGAAAATGCAGCCCCAAAATAACATAATGGGATAATATTTCGCACAAAGACATGATCCTCAATCATTCAATCAATCTTTCAACTCACTTAACAAAATCCTCGACGGCGTCAGCGAACCGCTGCTTGGCCTGGTCGTGGTACATGTCCTCGTACAGCTTGGAGAGGCACACGGCGACTGTGGTGCGCGTGGATGCGGTGATGTTCATGGAGCTCTCGTGGCGGTAGCCGTCCATCTCCGACGCCACCTCCATCAGGCGCTGGATGCCTGCGGAGGGGGGACGGGTTGGGAGTGAGGAGGGAGTCCGTCAGAGAGGACGTGAAGGAGGGAAGGAGATGACACACAGATGGCGAAATGTCGGTAACTTCAGTGATTTCATATAAACCAGCATTGCCACCCCTCAGCTGTTTCGTTGTTGATTTTGAGGGTCGTGGTTAAGGTGCACAGGGGTCCAAACATCAATTCGTTTGACACATGCAGGCTGCAGCCCACTCAATAGCGTGCATCAGTGAAAAAATCACCAGCCTATATTATCCAATGCAACAAAACACACGTTCCTCAAGTCCCGCCCAGTCCCAGAGTAACCAGTTCAATAGCACTGTTCGTCTCACGTCGGTCCGTCAGCACTGCCCCCTTGTGGTCATGCAATCACACCACGTCCATCACCGTCACACTCACCTCCCGACTGCAGCACGTTCTCCGTCCAGTTCAGCGCCATGTACGGACAGTTCTTGAGCAGCAGCTCGATGACGGCGTCCCGGCCGCGCGCAGACATGGCGCTCGAGTTGGTGGTCACCGTCAGAACCGCCATCACTGAGTCAACTTCACGCTTGTTGGCTGTCGGGGAGCGTAGAGGGCGGATCAGTCAGAGGGGAGAGGAGCACTGGGTACGGGTGAGGCCGGATAAGAGAAGTTCAATATTGTTGATAAATGCATGACTTGCTGAAATAATAGTTTTCGCAGTAGAAAATTGTAATAATGTTTAACTTCGATGAAAAATAGCATAACGACATGGTGGTACTCATAATCAAGATCCAAAAAATATTACATTTGAGGTTAGCCAGCTAACTTTCTAAGCAACAACCAGTTTGTTCGCGCACATCAAATCATAATGCAAGAAACATCAAGAGCTGGGCCGATGCTTTCCATCCTTTCTTCCTTCAACTACCGTCACTCCGATAAATGTGCCACTCTCACCCGACTAACATCCCTCACGTGGACACCCATCATCCCTCACCTCTGAGCAGGTCAGCATTAGCGCGCTTCTCGCCCTTGACGTCCATGCCGGCCAGCGCGCTGAGAATGACCTGCAGTAGGTACTGGGCAGAGTTGACGCGGTCCCCATCGTTACTGTTGAGCAGCTCGACCAGCCACGGCACGCCCAGGTCCCGCAGCACCTGCCGGCTCTGTGGAAGGGGAGGGGGTGTCAGATCAGGCGAGGGCGAGAATATCGTGACAGGGCAAACGGCCGTACTACACGTGGGAGTCATACACTCAAGATGAGGCCAGTTAGAGGTCAATGCTAGCTCCGGGAGTCGGGAGGCCTACCGTCGCATTGTCAGATTAAGGAGCACATATAGAGTCCACATGACCCTGATACATTCGGGTTGTGAGTGGATGAACTCATCGTGGCAGAAGTTCCAATTAAATTAATCACGTCACTTTCCTTATTCAATATTTTGATCAAATGGTTGTAGTCAAAGGCGGTCTCGTATTTGGTCCCGGCTTTTCTTCTCGCCCCTATTCTCCTTCTCGCTCCCACTCTCCACCTCGGTAGCGTGTCACGAATACCTCCGCTAGCTTGAAACGAGATAGACGTCGTTTGATCGATCTAGCTTGTTACGGACGCGATTGCTATCCCTCGCTATCGAGCTATCCACTGTCCCTTGTCCACCACCCCACCCACCGTCCCACTCACCCGTGTATCACTGTTCAGACACAGCTGTCCCAGTGCGCGGATACAGGACAGCTCCACCTCGTGGTTAGTCTCCGACTTAAGCAGCTGCATGATCTTCAGATGGACGCCCTCAGCCATCAGGGCTTCGGCACCTGGCGGCCAAAGCGTGAACCATTAGTTACAACGACGGCCGGTGGGCACAGCTGGGCGTCCTAGTACAAACACACCGGAGAGTATACCGCTACAGAAGAGTCGAGAAAACGGTCCGAGAGAGAAAATCCCGCGGATGTTACAATGCCATTACGTCAAGTTGAGGTCGATAGGGACGACCACGATTGGCGTATGCAATACCAGAAAATCACTGATATTCTTATGAACCCCATCTGTGGTTAAATCATCAGTGACCAAACTAACACGGCCAGGAAAATGACGATCTGCCTACCTGCACGCTCTTTGGCCAGCACCAGCATGTTGTTGGCCGAATCCTCCCGCTTCTGCTTATCCATGGTGACGTCGAATAGGTACTTGTATGTGTTCTGCACCTTGTTTTTTACCTGGGCCATGTCCTCCATCTGAGGAAAGCATCACAGGAGAACCTCGTTAGGAGACAGACATCATACATGCATTTGGAAGGCATAAATATTGGCTTGCGTTCCCTTAGTGGGAAAAAACGGAAACTTTTGTTCTCGTAGTATAAAAATTATAAATCATCGAACGTGTATTTGTAGCACTCAATATTATCTCTATTATAGTCGGGTACTTTTGAGGAGGTGGCTCTTTCTCCATCCTTATTATTGTCGAACCATATTTTTCACACAACTTCAGTACCCAGGTATTTCTGAGCAACCCTCGCTCGTTTGCAGCACTGGTGACCCCCCAGCGGGACGGGCAGCCCCCCCCCCCCCAGCCGCCCGTCCGGCCCTCCCCCCCCCCCCCAGCCGCCCGTCCCGCCCTCCCCACACTCCAGCCGCCCATCCGGCCCTCACCTGTTTCTGAACCGCCGCGTACAGCCTGGCGAGCAGCGGCTGCACCTCACGACTGTCGGGCTGTTCGTTGTGTAGGTGACGCGCGTCTCGGTACGCCTCCTGAACACGGCCGAGGGCTTCCAGGGCCTGACAGCGGCGGAACAGCGCCTTCGGGTCCGATGGCGTCTGCTCCAGTACTGAAATATACAGGCCCGGTGAGCAGGAACGTATCACAGAGGGATCAGGGAGGCTCAGGGACGAGCATCAGGGACGGACCAGGGAAGGCCGGGAGGGTTCGGGGTGGGAACAGGGATAGCTCAGGAACAACCACTGGTAGGCACTTGCATGCTGCACTGGTGGCGCCTTACTGAAACACTGAGATGAAATAGTCATAGGTTGGCATGATACTCAGCAGCAGTTAACCCTCGCCCGGCGAGGGGAGGGGGTTGATGCAACCCCCCCTTCCTAAGGTTTTCACAAATAACGTAAAAAAGGGCGTTGGCATACCCTCTGGGGCAACCTTTTGGCACCTACCCT